TCTCGGCCTCCCAAAGTGCTGGGATTACAGGCTTGAGCCACCGCGCCCGGCCTATCCTATTGAACTTCTAAAAGGTGCCCCTGGGCGGATGCTGGCTGTCCGAGACGACCTGGGGTTCAGGTCCCTTTCAGATGAAGGTAGGGTCCAGCCCTATGGGGCTTAGCGGGTTTTCTCCCCGTGTGCAGAGACAAGAGATTGTGAGAAATAAAGACACAAGACAAAGAGATAAAGAGAAAACAGCTGGGCGCACTGATATTTATTGCATACAAAACAAGGGGGGCAGGGTAAGGAGGGTGAATCTTTCAAGTGATTGATAATGTCAAGCAAGTCATGTGATCATAGGACAGGGGGGCCCTTCCCTTTTAAGTAGCTGAAACAGAGAGAAGGCAGCATACGTCAGCATTTTCTTCTATGTACTTATAAGAAAGATCAAAGACTTTAAGACTTTCACTATTTCTTCCACTACTATCTGCTACGAACTTTAAAGAGGAACCAGGAGTACGGGAGGAACATGAAAGTGGACAAGAAACGTGACCATTAAAGCACACCACCACAAGGAGGGGTTTAGGCCTCCGGATGACTGGGGCGAGCCTGGATAACATCCAGCCCCCCACAAGAAGCTGGTGGAGCAGAATGTTCCCTGACTCCTCCAAGGAGAGGGGACTCCCTTTCGCAGTCTGTTAAGTAACAGGTGTCTCCTTCCCAGACACTGGCTTTACCGCTTGACCAAGGAGCCCTCAAGCGGCCCTTATGCGGGCGTGACAGAGCGCTCACGTCTTGTCTTCTAGGTCACTTCTCACATTGTTCCTAGGTTATATTAGTAATGCAACAAAGAGTAATATTAAAAGCCAATGATTAATGTTTACACTAATGATTGATAATTATCCATGATCATTTTTATATCCAATTTGTATTATGACTATTTTCATTTTAACTATTTTCTTTATTATACTGAAACAGTTTGCGTCTTCAGTCTCTTGCCTTGGCACCTAGGTAATCCTCCGCCCACAGATGAAATCGGAGCTCTGCTGACATTGGTGTCTTCTCCAGACGTACTTGGTGGTCCAAATTCTTTCCCTTGGCTTTACAAGTGAGCCAGCGGTGTCCTGCTGTCAAGCCTGAGAGATAATGGGCACAGGCGACACTTTTTAGGACATGTGGGTGTTTTTAGAAACAAAACAAGAAATGTTAGCCCTGAATTCTCCATTTCACGTGTTCTTCCTGATATTAACCACACGTTCCTTCTAACATTAACCACCACATCGTCTTTTTGCAATAATCTTGGCAGGGGAAAATACGCTAGCCAGGGTCCACTAAATCGATTTCAAGCACGGAGGATGGGTCACACCAGGCAGTTCAAAAGACCCGTCCCTGGGCTGGGCGC